TGGTTTGTTTTTCTATTTTCATATACGAATTTGTGCATTAGTCAAGATCAGGAACAATGTCAAGGTCTGCGGTCTTTGATTTGCAATGGAAATTCCAATACAGGAAATTGCAGTCAAATCTACTTTTGAATTAAAATCTATATATGTATTATTAAATAAGCTTTTGGGAGTTCCACTAGCGTCTTTCAATCATCTTTCAGCCGACTTCCTAACTGTATTTTATTTGGCCTTCCCTTTGTTCTGCTAGTAAAAATTCTTCTCCCATTATTCACTCTAGTTTGAGGGGATTTTTCTGTACTCATATTATCATCTTCATTGTTAAAGTTGCAACTATTTGGCACATATCTTATCCCTCCTCGCTCCCAGCGCAACACTTCTAGACATCCATGAACTCATTTTGCATATAAACAATTTTATTTTTCGTATTTCGCTCAATTTGAAATGGCAACGAGTCGTAAGCAAATCATATCAACACTGACTAGACGCTGATGCACAAATTTCATTTAGGGACTCTACTGCATGGCCTTCCCCATTCCCTGTGCCTCAACTGTGTGCCCCACGTTGTGTGTGGCAAGGCGTCATATCGAATTACATGTTGCATTTACTCGTAGTAGCTCTGGAAGAGCAGACAATGTCAGAATTGGAGTTCTTAAGAGGGGGCACGACCACAGACTTGACTTCGTACTTATCAGCCCCCTGCCACACATAGCTGAGTCTCCCCCGGCCTCTTATTTGTTAGAGTTCCCACCACTGTGACGAAGGGGGGGGCTGCTACTCATTACCCCACAGAGCAATTCCATATTTCATCCTAAAAACCATTTTCCAATTTGATTTATTCGACTAATTTCACACTGCCGGATGGACGGATGGATAGATGGATGGACTTTGACCGGATTCTGGTGGGGGTTTGATGGTTTGCTGTCATGAACCGCGGACTCAGAACCGGTTCTCGGTACTTGAGAAGCGGAGAAAACAAAACAGAGCCCAGATTCAAGAGTCGAAAATCTTATCGCCAACTATTTGATCTGTTGCTTACATTGCCCACAACACTTCTTTCCATTTCCATTTCATTTCTTTTTCTATTTTGGTCTTGGTTCTGGATTCCTAATTAACATTCTGTCCGCGTTTGGGTTTCCAGTTTCGAGTTCGATTCGTGGCTGGATCTGTGCCCTGTGCAGTAATTAATTTATGCGTGCCTCAACCGTTACTTGATAATGAGCCAGCGGGCGCGGAGTGTGGGGGCACTGGCAACTCTTATCTTCGGGGGTCTGTGAAAGCCGATTAACTTTGAATCTTGAAGTGCGCTGGGAGCCAGGGTGTGGCTAAGGGATTGTGGGGGATGGAGGGTAAAGTGTGAAGGGGAAATGGAGCCAGTCCAGTCTGGTATTTATGGTCTGAGCCCCAGACAGTGTACAGTGCGGTGCAGGATTATAAAACCACTAAAATAGTTCACAACTGTGCTCAGGCTTCATCATATTTTGTTGTAATTATTTCTCCAAGTATTGGAGTTCATGGAGTTATTCAATTATCCTCGCTTACACCTATGAAACGCACTGTATCTGCACATATTACAATACTCAGCACTCATTGTGATTAATTGTCAACATTTGTGGAGTGGCGCGGGTAGCACTGTACTTCGGCTCAGACAACTATCCGTTTACGTGGGGCGTAACATCTCGCATGAACAAAAGGAAAACGAAAGGGAAAGGGAAATTTCGGAACAAGCGACTCCAAATTAAGATTTACAGCTTCAGCTGCAGACCGGCATGGATATTTATGGACCCACATCTAAGGAAGTGGACCACAGGCGGACTCTTTTGGCAAACTTTTGACTCATTATCTTTTGCGTTTTCTTAATTATCACATTAAAATGTTGTAAGAGAGTTTATTTGTTTTAGCAAAAAGAAAAATGTTTAAAACTGTTACTGGAATTCGATTAGGAATCTTGAGATGCCCCAAAAGCAGGTTGAAATAAATGTGTGAAGTCGTATAGGAAGTCTTTTCTTTGGTTGGTTCATAAGAATCATTATTAATGGCTCTTCCATATCTGGCAGAGCCTTCACCTTCCTTCCCAGTGATTTCAGCTCGTTCTAGTCAATTATAAAATATATTCTCACTCCCCCTATGCAATAAGCACGCCCAAATCGGTCCAATTAAGTAATCATTCCCATGGCTACCAGCAGTTCGTGCGAGTGTAGTGTGGGTGGTAGAACCAAAAGAAAAAAAAAACCAGAAGTTCTGTTCAACAAAAGATGAGACAGCGGCCACTCATCATCGGATGACCACAAGAAATATCATAATTTCTTTCCAAGAAATCAGCATAGGTCGCCACACAGATCAGACAGACAAGAGACCCGCGACCAAAGACCAATGATTGCCCAGACTGCGAGGAGGGGCAGCTCTTGGACGAGGGACAGGGAGCCGGAGCTGGTGCTGGTGCTAGAGCTGTTGGTCGTTGTCTCTTCGTTTCGTTCGATTGAATCAAGACCCCGTCGACGACCCCAGCCCAGAGAGTGGCAGCTAAATATACTTGCAATCAAGAAAACACAAAAAGAAAAGAAATAATGCAGCAGACGTAGAAGACTTGCGTAGGATCTGCAAGATCGAGAGATCCAGACAAAGCCGCAGCAATCGCCATCGTCCCATGTACATACGAGTATGTTTGTGGCTGTTTTGATTTCTTTATGGTTTTTGATAAATGCTGCTCATCATGTAATTTTAAACGCGCCGCGCATGTTAAACAAACAATTTCCCGTGACAGTGTAAAATGTGTTTAAAGGAGGAGGGAAGGGTGCCGGGAAAGGGACTTACACCATCCAACTAATGCTGAAGGGTCGTACGGCTGTCCGACCGGCCGGTCGTCTGTAGGGCCTCGGGCGACCATTACAACATGACTCGCAAAGAAAGCGAGTGCCAGAGCGTTGAATGCAACTTTTTCCATGTTTTTCCCTCTCCGCCTCGCTGTTTTTTTTTTCTCTGATGGAAAGTCTTTTGGCTCGAAGGCATGCCTAGGCTGGACTGGCCCGCTTGGCCCGGCCCAAAGAATCGTGTTGATGGATTTCTTCCTGTCGTAAATGTTGTAAGCAAAAGATATGTCCAAAACGTTCAGCATTGCTGTAGGGGCCCCCGACTCTGTCTCCGACTTTGTCTCCGTAATGGAAGTTTTTCTGGTTTTCGCAGCTTTGACTTATCATTCAAGATGCGTTTTCGGTCCGGGTGAGTGTGTTAAAATAGATGCTGGGCTGTGGATAAGCAAATCGCATGAAGTGTGGGAGAGTTCTGTTCTGAGAATGCAGCTCCATTCGGGTTGGTGATGTGGGTTGCCTTCGCAAGCAGCAAAAATGCGTGAGAAATGTGTCAACTGTGAAATGATTTAGTTATGTCAAGTCACCAAAGTTGGATTGTTCTGCAAGATCCGGCACATCAGTAAAGTTAAGAAATTCAAATAAATCAAATCTATTGCCATCTGATCTCCCTCCTGATATCGGCAGGCATTTCTTCTTGCACAACCACAATGCTAAACGATCTTCAGACTCTCTTTTCCCCCAAGCAGACGTGGGCGTTCCACCCATGTCGACACCATTGGAGCCCGTGTATCTCCATTGCATATAATCATCGATTGCATACGATAAATATTCCAGGCACAGCCCCAAGACGACAATTTCCATCGCATTGGATCGGGTCTGGGCTGGCCTCTTTATTTCCTCTGGATCTCTGAGCTTGTTTTCATTTCTTGTTTTCTTCGGGTTTTGCTCGTTTAGTTTTGTTTGTGCTGTTGCTTTGTTGTTTTCTTTGTTGTGTCTTTGCTGTGTGGCCACAGCTGTGGCAGTGTTGCTTTTTGTTGCCTCCGCGCTGTGACTTTTGTGGATTGATAAGAGCTGCGGCTGGTGGAATGTGCCCGCAGAAGATTGCCTCAGAGTCGGACTGCGTCTTTGTCTGGTTGACACATTATCATCATACACATTGGAGGCGATTGCTAAAGCCAGAATAAAGTACGCTTAATTCCTTAATTAAATTATGTTTATTAATTAATCTTATCTCTGCTAAATTAGCAGTGATTTGTTATGACATTAATTAGCTGTCTTCTAGGAAGTTGCTGCACTTCATAAAAGTGCCGAGATCATTGATCCACGTTGGTTTATAACTATTTGTCATCAGTCGAGGGAGTGTGGAATTCTATCGGTACCCTTGTAAAATAATTACCGCCAATGCAGTCTCGATGGCCATCCCATCGGTCATATGCGGGCCGTATTGGAAGTTTTTCATGTTTCGCACTCCCCAGATGTCTCATAACGAGCCCTTGAGGGTGTTTCCATTGTGGCATGCAACATGATCGATCTGTATAATGGTAATGTGTATTTAATGTGGGTTTGGGTTGGCTTGCTGTACGAGTAGTTGAAATGAATTTCGTCTTGGGGTGGAACTTTGTGAGAACTTTCACAGATGAAATTCGTGATGAATGGTGGGTTGTTATGGAACACATTTGTTGCTTTGATTTTATTTATTGCAGTAATTTTCAATTTATGTATACACAAAAACCTTAGTTTACTTATTTACTTTATAAACTAAATCAAATATATTATGTGATATATACTGACATTTGTTGTTTTTGAATGGAACAACTTTCCATAATTTTCTCTTCCCGACCCACTGTGCAGCAACTCTGTCTCTCGTTTTTGCTCTCTCTCTCTCTTTCTCGTCCTCCCTCGTTTTGCTTTCATGGTTTTGCTTTGTTTACTTTGTGTTATTTGCTTTGCTCTCTCTCTCCAGCAAATTACCCTTGTGGAAATTTTCTCTCCCAGCTGCACGGCTCATCATGCAACGCAAAAGCGAGCAACGCGCTCTCTTGCCTGGCTTGTTTTCAGTATATATTCGGTATATTTGGTATGTTTGTTCCTCTTTTCCCTCTAAAATCACCAATTCACAATAAAACCGTTCACAATGGCAGCTCCGCGCTCAGACATATTTTGAATTTAGATTTTTTAATAAACTTTTGCAGTGGCAGCGCAGTCAAAAAAAATTGTTCACCTTGCGCGGTTGTGTAGCGGACGCCGTGCCCGTTTCGATTCGATATAAATTAACACAATCCAAATTCGAGCCAAAACAAAGTCTTGTTTCCGCGCGCTTGGCGTTTTGTTGAATATTCGGGACGACGACAGGTTATGCTATGCTATATGATATCCAAAGAGTCGGAATAGTCGGATATAGTAATCGAATCCAATCCACGCTCAAATCGAAAGTGAAATTTGTGGAACGGTGAACCAAACACACAACGCGACGACGTGCACACGGTGATTTTTTGAATGGAGAAGTAAAGCAACAGAGAAACAAATCCAATCATAAATCAATTCTACCAATTAAAGGCAATTCATAATTAGTATTATTCATATACTAAAGTGTTTAACAGTTTAACAACAACAAGCAACCAACCTAAAAGAATTAATCATAATCAAGAATCCAGGTGATTCGGTGTGCAATACCATTGAGAGCTGGAAAACATCATGCAATATTGTTGAATAAAAGGTAGTGTAAATTTTTGGTCATAAAGGTATACACACTATTACCCCATGATGCTGCACATAACAACAAAGCGACAGAGCGAGAGAGAGGAAGAGGAAGAGAGAGATGTGTGCAGAAACTCCAAAAGCGAGTGCAGGAGAGAAAGAGAGTACGTGAGAGAAGTTAGAAGTTGTTTTTGTGCAGCATCCCAAGTGTCTGTGTTCCTGTGTGTCTGTGTTTGTGTTTTTGCAGAAATTTTGCCATCCTTCCTTCCTTGTCCTTCTCAACTGAAGTTGTGTGAGTGAATACAGCATGAAAAGGAATGGATGGAGTGGGTAAAATATTGAATTCCAATTCCATGAGTACCGTGTAAAGGTTCTACCCCTTCTAGAGGACAGGTAGAGACGTTAATGACAGATAATGGAGTTAGGTAGATAAATGAAATGAATGTTTTGAAGGCTTTAATAAATATAAAATATAAACATTATTCAAGTAGTAGGAAAAGAATTAAGTAAATTATATTCTTGTAGTCAAAGAAACACAAAATCTGCCTCATACGGAACTAAAATAAACCATTCCTTATCGAAGTACGAGTTTGTCCAATATCTGAGGAGCTGCCAGTCAAAGTAGGGAACCCGAATTCATTCCACATTCAAAGCATTAGTATCCACAGTATCTTTCTGATAACTCCCATAACTGTAACCCATGTGGAAATTCCTAATAATTATTATATTTTATAATTATTGTGTATAGGTAGGGTTACAATTACAACTCGTTTTTTAATTTATATTTCGTTATCGGGAGAAATCTCAGCTGATTCTGTTTGATTTTATTTTATTTTATTCTGTTTCAATTAATTTCGTTGTACGAGTGAGTGGCGGACGAGTCCAATGGATTATTGTACGATTAATCGCCTGAAAACATTGTATAATTATGTATTATATCACACTTCCAAACAGTTTGTCACGCTCTCCCCGTGTCCCGCACATGTGAGGATTTCTCTCATTTGTTTATAAACAAATACAAATTATTTGATTGCATCGTACCGGCGAATTGAATGAGAGATAGAGATAAGAACAGGTGGCATGCTTGGGGAGAATCTTTGCTATTTTCGTCTATATTCCGATGAGGTTTTATTTCTTAATAATTGAATTATTTGTATATTGAGCCAAAACAAAGCGTAGGATGGATTGTTATGGCTTTTTATCGCCCTGAACAACCAAATCCACTCAATGATGTTGTTCCGAGGACATAAATAAACCGATTTATAGTTTGTTGTTTCTTCTTTTCAAAGTCAAACATTTCCCAAGAACAATCCATAGAAAAACAGATACAAATAAGAGCCAATGAGTAAATGAAACTGAGGGAAAATGTTACGAATTCGTTATTCGGTTGCCAAAATCGATTCCAATGAACGATGAATCGAATTTCTTTGCACTCACCAGCCTCAGATCAACTTTTCTCTACAGATCCGCCTCGGGGCCTCAGCGCCGGCTCTAATCAACGTGAGCTTGTCCCTCCAGCCGTTTACCCCTATTGTTATTAATCTTTTTGGCTTTCGGTTAATCTGTGTGTTTGAGTTTTTGTCTTCTGGCCTGCATACAATTTGCAACACATTTTTGTGCCTTGTCTTTTGTGTTATTTGTCCGCTTTCCATTTCACTCGATTGACTCGTGTTCTGCCCTCATCCTCCCCCCCTGGGACCTGCCATGTCTTCTCTCATTTCCATGAGAAGGCTATCAATCTGTCGAGGAGTGATCTTGGGCATTTCAACATTCGAAAGTTTGTTTTGGGTGTTAATTGGGTTTTGAAATGCAATTAATTAAGCCTCAAAGCTCTGACTAACTGCGGAACTACAACTCTGTAAGAAATATGAATGAAAATTGGATATATATATCTAGGAAAACAGATCAACAGCGCCAGCTGGCTGCTACAAAACTCAGCAGCATATGCAAATTGAATTAATTTAACTTTCCTTACTTTCCCATTCCTGCTGCTGCTCCAACAAATACAATTCTAATGAAATTCACTCACAGTGACACAATTATGCGATGCCCTCTGGTGTGGCTCGTCATTTGCATATGGGATCTTCATCTTCGTACAACAAAATGTATCTCTCTCGGGTACCCTGCTCGCGGGCTTCGAGTGAAGAGTCGTAAAAGTGTAACCCACATTGGCCCCCCACTTGGGGTTGGCTTTCCTAACGGACCCAAAATGTTATTACTATAAGTATTTATTTTGTAGTTTTCTTCATTTGTTTGCTCTGACCATGCGCAATCTTTTTATGAAGTGTGCAAAAGTTTGTGCCGGTTTGTGTGTGCGGCCTCGTCTCGAGAGGAGTCGTTCAGTCCGTGGAGTAGTTTGTCGAGTGGAGTGAGGGGGTCAGCATTGAAAGCGCCGTTAGCTTAGAAAACCATCAGAATATCTCTCGGTGTAAACATACCCTGTAGCAAATCGATTTCAATATTAAGTAATTAAATTCCCCATCCCATTGTTTAATTAAACATATTTTTATTCTAATATTTAGTATGCCATAAATTGTCTTTTATTGTAGCATTTTAGTGTTTCTCGTTACGCATCTGAAACTATTCCCACAATCTCTTTCCTTACATAAACAGACCCACCCAAAGAGTATAATTACTTTTTCCCCCGTCCACACCAATACCCACTAAGGTCATTGCCTTCACCTGATCGAATCACTTGAGTGTCTTGTATCTTTAAAGTTTAAACAAACAGAAGAGAAAATTCTATAGTTAGACTCAAGTTCAAATCGAACAGCCGACGACAAGTAAATGATTGTCTGCTCTTTTCCGAGTATTATCAGAACTATCAGAATGGAACGGAAAGCAAAGGCTGAACCCGAGTGCCAAAGTTCTAGCTAACATCGTGTTATGGGGCTACAACTTTGTGTGGAAAGATACGGTGAAAGATAGGCATAAGGCGGCGCTTATCAGCCTCAATGACACCCTCGACGTCATTGATGAGAAATCGAGTTTATTGTTATCACGAAATGAAAACGAGGGCTCTGCAGCGAGGGTAAAGTCATGAATAACTTCCTCTTAAATATGATGACAAATACTCCGCTTCCAACGAAGTGCGAGATGAGACTCCCCACTGAGAAAACCCAACGAAGATGGAGGCAGAAGCAGGTGCTTCTCTGAGAGTGGAGAGTATCGACAAATGCTCTCCAGCTAGACAGTAATTGATGCATGCCAAATGTGGTTTTTTGTATTGTTAAATTTAGCATCAGTTCAGGCAATTCTATAGAGAGAGAGAGAGATGTATAGGCTATAGCCGTCAAGTGCGTCACAATGCCTCTCTAGAGATACGTAGATTCGTCGTCGCACGAGTACGAGTACGTGTGTGCCGGGTATTTGTATGGTTTCTTGATCTAGCCTAAGCTGCCACGCTGCGAAACTACTGCTGAAAATATCAGCTGATTGTAGTCCCTCTCTCTCTCTGTCTCTCTTGCCCATTTAATATTCTTATCAGCCTGTAGTTTCTCTTTATCTTTTTGCTTGTGGCACAGATAAAAGCAAGACGGGAATTTTATTTTATTTCTGGTAGCATGTGTCGCTGGGAAGTTTTGCTGCGAATATACATATTAGATAGAGACTCGACCCCCATCTGCAAACTGGCTATGCTAATTAAACGTTTAATCTACATGAGATTTCTGAGTGCAGAGCATGTTTAGATAAGTAAATGAGATACAGAAACTGCATATTGGGATTGGAGTATTCATCGAGGAATGGCAAATACCATAAATTAATGATTATTTGCAAAATGTTGGAGATTGTTTATCCAAGGCATTGGCTAGAAAAGTTTCTGATATTATTGTTTATGATAAAACATGGTAACAGAATCAGCGCACAATCGAATTTCTGTTGAAATTATTAAGTATACAGCTACAATAGAAAATAAGTTTCTACAATGTTATCCGATATCCACTGATACACTCTATGGCTTAACCTCTTGTGGCCAACCTTCTGCACTCAGCCTCTACGAGCTGTCAAACAATTATGCGACACCAGCCGCGCATGACACCTTCAATTGAAATTGATTATAGAGACGACATCATCTCATCCACGCACTGTCTCTTAATTAACGTGATAGACAAAAAACAAGCAGAGTTATTCACTTTGTTTGGAGCATAAAAATCTCAATGCTAAATGGGTTTCTAGGAATTTCCCCCAGCAGAGAAAGGAGACCTTCGCTTTGGCTATTGGACTTTCCTAAGTGCACTGCCCACAACCTGCGATCATGGGGCTATAATTGTCATGGCTAGATCTCTGTTCTGCAGCTTTGTATCTGCCTCCGGTAATGGAGACCACGCATTCAAGAGACATTCAATATGCTGGCTGCCTCAATGAGAATTCGTTTTCCTTTTGTCATCGCGAATTGGGTCTTGGTCGATCGTGAGACGCCATAGACAGCCGCACGCAGCGCACGGGGGCGTAACGCACTTGATGAGCAATCTCTTTCGTTATTTTCGTTTTCAAATTTTCAACAAAATTCTCAATTCTCTGTCGCTCCGCCGTTCTCTTGATATGTGGGTCAAGTCCAAATTGGCAAGCAACTTCTGTTTCTTATTTTCTGCCTTAGAAAAAGTGAAATCGCAAAGTGAATATTTTTTTTAAGCTGCAATTAACTCTTAATCATCGGCACTTTGTTCGCTCTTCTTTGATTCTCCCTTTGCCCCCCTCTCCAACTATCACTTGCACTTTTGTCGCAAGATTCTTAGCAATTAGCCAGCATTTTTTCTCCATCTGTGATTTGCATTTTCTGTCATTCCCCGTCGCTCAATCGGATGTCGTAATTAGAGTTTAATTATTTATATTTGTACATTTTTTTTCTCTCTTGTGCGAATGCTAGCACCTCGACAAGTGGCTAATGGAGATATTGGCATTGGTGCAATCTGTCTAGACGGCAGGCGAGGAATACTTGTTCCATGACTGTGTGGAAAAATTGATTTTGCCTTCGATAGAAGATAGAAATAATTCGGAGATGTTTACGCATCCGATTTT